TGTGTAGTATAGATGATGCTTTGCATAATATAAGCTAAATGATAAGCGCGAATGAAATAATTTTGAAAGTTTTATATATAATGGTAAACAAATATTTATATTATTTACTTGTAAACTTTAATTGCTAGCTTTTTAATTCCACTATTTAGTAAATAATCTTTATAATTACAGGTTAGTAAAGCAATCAATGCGAATAAAAATAATTTGAAGGTAATATAACGGTAAATCGGTATTTATGTTCTTAATTTTAGTTTTACTGATTACTAACCTCTATATGTACAAGCTAAATAATTAATGCAAATGAAATATTTTGAAGACATTTTGTGTAATGGTAACTAAGTATTTAAGTTCTTTGCTTGTGAACTTTACTTGCTAACTTTAATTCTATTAATTAATGAATAATCTTTATAATTACAGACTTAGTAAAATGATCAATACGAATAAAAAAGAGCATTACTTATGCCACTGCTTACAGTACTGGTGCTTTATTTTAGAATTCCATTTTTAAAATTGGATAATACCCGTAAGTACTATGTAAAGAACTGGGTACTATATCTGGGGATATTAAAGTAGTAATATAGTACTCTGGGTTTTATTTAAAAAACAGGTTAGTATTGATGATGAATAATACTTGGGTAGAAGATAAATAGATACTTGTGTTTTTAATTTGTGAAATTTGATTAGATTTTAGTTCTGCTAATTTCTAACAAAGCTGAATATTTAATACAAATGAGATGAGGTTTGGTAAGTTTTTTTAGATGTAGAATTGGGTTTTATTCAATTTTGGCTATATACAAATATAATAAATTGTATGATTTGAATTATAATACATTTTAAAATATATATATAAAATAAAAATTTTTTTAATATATATAAATTTATTAATATATATATTAAAACCCAACCTTATTTCAAACTAAATACCCATTTCTAATTATCCGACTGCCAACACTAAACCCATTCCTACTTGCCCAATAGTTCTAGCTTTAAACCTAGCCCGATTCTAGCTAAAAACTCATTCCTAATTCTGAATTAAACTATTATTACTTAATTCATTTCTTTTATCAGAATATCTTAAATTATTTTATTTGTACTAATAATTTTATTTTTGGTAAAAAGTTCAATTGTTAGTTATTACTGCTGTTAAATTTTCTCCTAGTACTGCTATGGCTATATCAATTATAGCAATAATTTCACTAACCTTTTCCTTGTGAATAGCATAGGTGATTCTGTTTGCCAAGATTAAAGAACCTTTGGCATCACTACAGTATTATTAATTTTTACAGTTTTGCTATTCAAACCTGTAAGTATAGAGAACATTTCTTAATCATTAGAATTAAAAACAACAAGTTCGCAAATCAAAAGTATAAGTACTTATCTACAATCCATAGTGCTTTTCAAATCATTTATTCACTTTAGCTATTTAGCTCTAAACATAAAAAAATTATTTAAAAAAACAGGTTCACAAATCATGAACATAGATATCTACTTGCCATTATGTAACTCATTTCATTCACAGTAATTGTTTTATTTAGCGTATGAATATAAAGATCATTTATTAACCATGGAATTAAAAAAAAAAACATTCATATTAATCGTTTTATTTAGTGCATATATTGTTACAAAGTAGGTTGTAATACAATGCTACGATAGTATAGTTTAGTATAAATGATATTTTATAAATTGTATTATTATATATTAGTTATATTTATTTAGTATTTATTTAGTATT